AGAGGCAGTTAATTGCATGAGAGGAAATTGCCCATCCTTCTCCCACAGAGCAGCTGGTAGATTCGAACTGTGTGCCTTCCCTATTGCAGTGCAGCTTCTTGCCTCTAGGCTAGCATGCTTCTCAGATAATTGACACTTGCCTATCTTCCATCTATTTTTGTTATTCAACATCAATAATGTTCTAAAAATTCATCCGTGTTGTTAATTTATAAGCCTTCAGTTCCTTTTTATGACACATCACGCTTTGTGTATCTGTTGGTAGGCATTATGGTTGTTTTAGTTGTTTGTCTATTTGTGAATAGTGTGCGGTGAACATTGTTATAAAATTATGTTATTTCTCCAGTCCTTGATTTCATGACTTTTTGTTGTGTACTTAGGAATGAGAGGGCTATGTTTTTGAGTAATTTTATAATTACCTTTTTTGAGGAATTATCAGTCTTCTCAGTCTTCTTTTGGTAGTATTATGTTTCCTTGCTTATATTTTAGATTGCCTCTTAGTTTTCTTTATATAGTTTGCATTCTAGATTCAATAATGCTTATAGATGTTATGTAATTAAATGGACATAACTGTGTTCTAACATAGCTTTATTTATAAAGGCTTGTAGGTCTGCTTCATAGTGTGCAAATCATTGTTCGTAAACTTATGAAAAACTTAAATGTCTGTTTATTGCTATGATGGCTTCCAGGTACTCCTTCCACTTTGGCCATGGGATTTCTCAGCAATGACTTTTCTGTACATTTAAAAGATATGTTTTACTAAAATACACATTTTAAGGTGTGTGGTGTTTTTTGGGGGGGTTTTTTTGGTGTGTATGTACCATCAAATCGGATCTGACTTATACAGGAGTAGATTGCCCTCCTTCTCCAGCAAAGCATCTGGTGGATTTGAACTGCGCTCCTCAGGGATTGCAGTGGAGCTTCTTGCCAGTAGGCCACAGAGCTCCCTTGGTTTTTTGGGTTTTTAAAAAACGTTTTTCCCTCTTGTGTACTGTCAAATCAGATCTGATTGGCACAGGAGATTGCCCCTTCTTCTCTAGTGGAGCATCTGGTGGATTCAGACCACACACCTTTGGGATTGCAGCACAGCTTCTTGCCACTAGGCCACCAGAGCTCTCTTCTTTTTTTTTTTATATCAGGAAAAGATTGCCTCAGGGAGGCGCCTTGTCTCTCTGTATGTTTTCTTTTTTTTAATTTTTTTTTATTATTATTAAATTTTATTAGTTTTAATGAACATTTACAGGGATTTTGGGTTTTCATTCCTTCATTGCTGCACCATTCTCTCTACCCTCCTCCCCAGTTTGTTGTTCTTCCCCGCCATCCGAATGTCTGTTTTAATTGTCCAATTGCCACAGTGCTTGTCAAAGTCAGTTCTGATTAATCTCCTTTGTCGGTGTATCCTTTGCCATTCCCTATCACTCCTCCCTGAGAGAGACTTCACCCTGAGTCATAAGGAAAAGGGGATGGCGTATTCTCTTAGCTACTTCCTGCTGAAAAGGGACGCTGTGGGTTTCAGGGTGAAGATCTTCTCTCACTACTCTAAAGGGCCCCTTTGGCAGTAGGAAACACATAGACTATTATGGAGATTGATTTTGGAATTTAGATGCACTCTTATTGATTGTGCTTGGCCGTACATGTTCATATCCTTGAAGATGTATCATGGGGGTGTTGCAACCTAGAAGACACAAATTTAACTAACAAGTTATAAGTACATGAGTCAAAAATTATGGAAAAGTAAAAGAAAAGATTCTTTCATTGTTTTACAAACCCTCCCCCAGGTCCCCTCCACCATGTAGCCCTCACTCTAGACTCCTGTGATGACAGAAATACCTAGTCACATCTCTTCTAACATACATATTTTAAGCAGTGTTTCAGGATAGGAGGGTTTTTCAAGCTATCACACTCATAAATGATTTTTGTTAATTTCAGAAACCTGAAACTTGTAGTGACTGAAAAGACCATCCGGCTTGCTTATCGTCATGCTAAGCAGAATAAAAAGAACCTGCCATGCTTTTTACTTGGTTCTCTCACAGTGGACGAAGGTAGTATACTTACAGTGGCAATCTTGTGTTTTGGTTTGTTTTTGTTCCCCCTGTATACCAAGGATATGAGATTAATAATATCTGACTTTCTCCATCACAGATTTATAGTCTACTCAGGCAGGAAAAGATATATGCCAGTGATTAAGAATTTCATACTATTAGTTTGACCAAAATGTTTTGCTGTAATGTAGCTTTGCTTAGTAATTTCACATTTTTAGTTAGTACACAGTATAATAACTAAATCTTTATTTTTTAGATGAAGAAGGTGTGACATTGACTGTAGATCGCTTTGATCCTGGTCGAGAAGTACCTGAATGCTTAGAGAGAATCCCAAGTGCTTTTCTTCCTGGGGATTTTTTAATTCCATGTAAAGTTGATACTCAAGAACTTTGTTCGAGCGAAATACTAATTCACAATGCAGATGACTTCAGTTCTGCTTTTACGGTGAGAGTCATTTGATAACTTCACTTTCTTAATTCAATTTAAAAATCAAACTATATGTTTGTTTTTGTTAGGTGCCGTCGAATCATGTATAACTCATAGCAATCCTATGAACAACAGATCTGAACCCTGTTGTACTCTGTGCCATTCTCACAATCTCTGACTTACTCAGGCTCATTGCTTCGGTCACTGTGTCAATCTGTCTAGTCGAGGGTCTTCCTCTCTTTTGCCTACCCTCTACCTCTCTAAGCATGATGTCCTCCTCTAAAGAATAGCCTCTCTTCGCAACATGCTTCAAGTGTGTGAGATGAAGCTTTATCATCTTTGCCTTCAAGGAGCACTCTGGCTGCACTTTCTCCAAAACATACCTATTCTCTTGGCAGTCCTTATGATATTCAGCACTCTCCTCCAACACCACAGTTAGATTCTTCTGCCATCCTTGTTCATTATCATACTAGACAAAGTATGTATAGTATGGTTTATTTAATCTGTAGCTGAGAAGTAGTCATACTCATTTATTATTTAATGATTATTGACATAAAATGTTTCTTGGAACAGAAGTGCCAAGGAGGTGATTAATAGGTAGTATTCCAGAAAAGAAACAATAGGAACAAGATAGAAAAGAGGCAAAATGTGCTAAGAGTACATGTTTTTGCTGGATTTGTGGTGTTGACGTTGGACTAAAAGTCTAACCAAATCATAGAGGGCCTTGAATGAAAGGTAAATAATTTTGACCTTGTTGTATAGTCTGTATAGCATTATTGGAGATGTCTGAAAGGAAGAAATGCTGTAAATTCATGAATGGTCAATCCGACAGGGCAGACAACTGAAGGATCAGTTAAGCCATTGCAGTAGTTAAGTGTGTGTTAGAGGGATGTTTTAAACTGTCAGATTAGGAGGAACATAGTGGGCATAAACAATTACTGAGGAAGTACTAATTTCACAATAAGGGTAGCAGACAAAAGGATCAAAGAGACATAGCTAGATTCTCAGGGAGTGGATGAATTGCTTTATTATGAGCAACATCCTCTCATAACAATTTGAAGTGCCACCTGGGCATCCAGGTTTGTAACTGTAATAATGCTTGAAAAAGTCAATTTTCTTTGTTTTGAAATAATTTTACATATAACCCTTTAGGTAACAGGGTAGATAAGATGTTTGAAATATTTTTTCTTTCCTTTTTATTAGTTCAAGATCCATGTTGTTAGTTGCTATTGAGTTTGTGCTCATGGCTGTCTCATGTGCAACAGGATGAAATACCGAGTCTGCGCCATCTTCACACTGTTGGAATACTTGAGTCCATTGTTGTAGCCACTGTATATTTTGAATGCCTTCCTAAAATGAGGAAGCTCATCTTTAGCATTTTATCAGACAGTATTCCATTGTGATCCAAAAGGTTTCCATTGACTTAGTTTTAAAATAATTGTATCATTTTGGTTCCTCAGGCAGTGCAGAACCATGTGTGTAGCAAAGATTCCTTGGACTGTGGTAAGCTGCTTTCCCTAAGATCTCATATAACCTCCAGGGAGAGTTTGGACAGCATGGATTTTGACTTTCACTGGGCAGCAATAACTCTAGCAAATTCCTTTAAGTGCGTACCTGTGAAACCCATCCCCATAATTCCAACAGCCTTGGCAAGAAACTTGAGTGGTAATCTGAGTATTTCTCAACTTCAAGGGACCTATAAATATGGGTAAGTGAAGCATATTTTAAGTATTGTTTGCCATAGTTTATTTTTTTGATACCTATAGAATATGAAATAATTGTATAGCCTCTTTACAGGCTAGAGATCTATGGTGGCTATAGAAGGTAAAAAGTGAAGTAAACTAAATGTAGCATTCTTTCAAAGAATTATTCTTACTAAAAAAAAAATGGGGAGAGTGTTATATTAAAATGGATTCTATTTTTGTGATTTGAAAGTGTAAGGAGAAATTATCCTTCACATTATCTTTTCTATGTTGTCTTAAGTTTGGTCCTTTTTTCCTTTTATTACTACACCTTAACTAATTGTGAACCTAAGAGTGGCTGGAAAGTTGAGACTATGCAATTTTATAAATTATGAGCATTGTAGATAGGGAATAACTAATTAAAAATGTGCTGAACTCTTGCTTACCTAATTTTCAGTTACTTGGGTGGAGTTTCCTTACATAACTAAAGCAGGATCCTCTCCTACTTCCTGTCAATATTCCTAGGTTTCATAGGAAACATAAACCAAAATGCATGCTTTCTAAACCTTAGCAGGGCTGCTTCTCTGAATCCCATCCAGTTTCTTTACCTGTTATCTTCTGAACTAGATGAAAAATATTGACACTCTTCTGCCTTAAGTAAAGTCTGACCAGAGGCCAACCCTCAGCATTCACTTCTGGCTTCCTTTCCCATTGACCCCACCCAGGTTCCTGTTGCTTTCCAGAGCCAAATGTGTTTGCTACGTGTACAATACATTCAACTTACTGTCTTAACCTCCGAAGTGCCTCTTTTAAGAATGGATGAGAATAGGACTTTTTCAGTGGGTTCCTTGCTGAAATAGCAAGGATGTATTTTCAGTCTCAGATGCTGACTAGAGCACTTTTCTGTTTGTATTCGTACAAAGGGAAAATATTTGTATATTCTCCACAAGAGAATATAGTTAGTGGTCAAAATGTTTTAGAATTAAATAGGACATTTATTTGTTTTGGAGTAAGTCAGTGCTTCTTAATTAAGATGGGGAATTTTTGTAAAACTAACCAAAAATGAATTCTTTCTTAGTGTCCACTTGTAATGGAAGCAAGAATCTACTTTTCTTAAAAAAAAAAAAAAGAATCTACTTTTCTTTAATTATCCATCCTTAGGATAGTGGTAGTAATACAAGAGTGTTCAACATTCTATCCAATTTCCTATTTGCCGTTTCCTCAGTATATTTAGAATTATCTTTTGAGTTTGTGACATTTGCCCTTGCCCCAAGTTATTAGCATTTACTTACTCACTCTAGCATTTGTTAGGCTCAGTTATGGCCGTGCTGCTATGTTAGGTGCTGGATATAAATAGATTTTTAAAAACATGCTTATATGTAAAATTGATGTCTTATGGAATTTATCTATAGTGAAGGAAAAGTACAGGGGTATTTCCAGACTACCTGGGGGAAATCATGGCAGACCTGTACTGAGTGTTAAAGAGTACATATTTATCAAGTGGCCACAATACTAGGAGAAACGTACAGAGCAGGATTAGATGTTACTGTTTATATAAAAATCTAGTATTATTTTGGGCTTAACCTTATGGCATGACCTGATACATTGTCTTTGTTCATTAGAGGCTGTCATAACAATCAAAAGCTATGGTAGCATAGTCTGTAGGAAGTTGCACTGCCAAGCCAGAGGCTGCACTTTCTCTGATGGTTTGAATCCACTACTGGCTTCACTAGAAAAACATGAACTTTACAGTCTCAAAAACTTGCTAGAAGGTCAGATATAAGTTGGTTCAGGTTGAACAGTAATGGTAACAACAAAATGTCCTTGGTAGCATTATTAAGGTAATATATGATTAATGTATTATTTTTATTAAGTTTCTAAGCCATACTCTAAAATTGACCCAACAATTCTGTGTTTTTCATATGTTTGAAACTTACTGTCAAGAATTAATGTAATAACAAAGTATAAATATAATAAATGTATTTTAGGGATAAATGAGCTTTTGTGCTCTATCATACTGATTCCAAATTTCTCTGATGGTTAGTGGTTGGTGTAGCAGGATGCAGTATTTGGAAAATTGTCAATGCCTGCCTGACGTATGTCAGTTTCCGTCAATGAGAAGTCACACTGTTGCTGTCTATAATTATGTCACATAAAATGTATGAACACTTTGAATACGGAGGGAGTTCATTTCTCCAAGAAAATGAATTGATTTGATTCAGAAAATATTTACCTTGATTTTAATGCGTTTGATTAAAGTTATTTATGTTGGTTTTTTAAGAGGAAAACTTTTTAAAAAGATGTTTATTTCTCAAAGGTCATTTTAATAGATAGACCCAAGTTTTAAGATACTAAATCTTTTCCTCTTCACTAGAATCTTTCTAGACTTTAAAGTGTTTTCCCAGTACATTCATGCTTATGTGCTAGCGTACACTCATTTATGTGTCTGAGTGAGACAGTGTTCACTTGAATCCTCTCCTGCAATTAAAAAATTGACTTCTTTAGTATTTACCCTCTTTCAGATTAAAAGTATATAATATAATACTTCCTATTATTTTAACAAGAATGTCTTCTGTTTAGATATCTTACCATGGATGAAACGCGAAAATTACTGCTTTTGCTGGAATCTGATCCCAAAGTTTACTCTTTACCATTAGTGGGAATGTAAGTTTTCCATTATTTACGGATGTAATTTTAGCTGAATATGTATTCAGCTATATAATAAACATATAAGTGACTTCTATTATGAATGCATAATGAGTATTTAGATTGCTTTGTACGATCACAAAGTCCAGGAGATTCAGCTGAAACGAATTTGGTTTTTTTTTAATGTGTGTACCATCAAATCAGATCTGACTGGTACAGGAGGAAATTGTCCCTCCTTCAGCAGAGCATCTGGTGGATTCGAACTTCACATCTCTGGGATTGCAGTGCAGTGTCTTGCCACTGGGCCACCAGAGCTCACCTGAAACAGAATTTTACTCAATTCTACAAGAACTTCCATTATATAAAAGATAAGAATGTTTAGGGAAGGGAGCTCTAGTGGCAAGAAGCTGCCCTGCAATCCCAGAAGTGCACAGTTCAAAGTCACCAGATGCTCTGCTGGAGAAGGAGAGACAATCTCTTCCTGTACCAGTCAGATCTGATTTGATGGTACACACACAAAAGTAATAAATTAAAATAAAAGAAAAGGGGAAAAAAAGTTGAAGTTGAAACGAAACCTGACATTCTTGTTTCTTCAAACTGCTTTCCACCTCTGTCCTTGAGGCACCTTGACAAACTCCAGGACTCAGAATAATAATTCACTGCCAGACAACATTAAAGAAATTCCCTGTAGTGTTAATGACTTGCTGTTTAGAGTTAATGGCTGATGACATTTAGACAGATTACTAAGAAATTTATAGTCATTCTACACTTACTGAGTGCTTACTATATGCACTGTAATATGTTTGGTACTGTGGTGTGAAAACTTCTTAAGGAATTTGTAGTCTAAGTGAAGAAATATTTAGATGTTCTCATACAGAAAGATAAATAATAAAGATTAACTATGAGCCGTTGTAGAGTCCTGAGCACCATTAGTATTAATTTATTTATGGAAGAGGTAGTTTCTTTGTCATGCAAACTTTAGCTGGACCTTCATAGATTTTTTTTAATAATAGAAAGGAGAATGATTATGTCCAGAGTTAAAAGATAAGAATACAAAAATGTCCTGTGGATCATGCATTCTCTTAGAGAGTGATTATGTCCAGAGTTAAAAAATAAGGATGCAAGCATGTCTCATAGGTCACGAATTCCCTTACAGTCTCTTTGCTTTGGCTTTCCTTAGCTATGGGTTGTTGACGATTGAGGGAGCTCTGGTGGCCTAGTGGTAAGAAGCTGCACTGCAGTTGCAAAGGCACATGGTCCAAATCCACCAGCTTCTCTCTGAGAGAAGGATGGACAGTCTCCTCCCTTGTGATTTACTACCTCTGAAAACCTATGGAAGGGTCAGCCCAAGGGTTGGTTCCAACTCGATGGCAAACAACAACAGGTGAATATTTCAAGCTACCTGAATAAATTACCAGGAGCTGTAATGTCTTAAATGGCTTAGCTCAAACCTACCCAGTGGCTTGAACCCATCCCATGGCTTCTTGACAGAAAGATGACTGTTTCCTTGAAGAGTATAGCCAAGAAGGCCAATTCCACTCGGCCACATAAAGTCATGCTTACTTGGAATTTATTTGATCATACTCAGGAACAATAGTGTATAACTTAAAACATTTAATTTTCTCAGCTGTAGAAAATAATTTTATGCCGAAAACATCATTTCTCTAATTCAGCCACTTCTCTATAGTCCAGGCTAACTTGCTGGAGTCACCTGCTTTTATATCAGTTTCCCTTTTCTTCTCTCACATCTCAAGTGAAAGAGAGAACAAAGAAGATATTTTCTCCCTTTTTAAAATAATCATCTTGGCCTAATATTATTTATAGATTTCTTATTTATGAAGCCTTTTTAATATATTATGTAGGAACCCTGGTGGTGCTGTGGATAAGGCATACAGCTGCAAACCAGAAGCTCAGTGCTTCAAGTTCATCAGCTGCTCCACAGGAGAAAGATGAGGCATTGTACTTGTGTAAAGATTTACAGCCTTGGAAATCCTAGAGGTAGTTCTGTGTTCTGTAAGGTCATTGGTAGTCAGACTGGCCTCCGTGGCAGTAGATTTAAGGTATTGCTGGCCAAGAATCTGTAATATTATTTAAGGAAAAACTTCATTTAAAATATAGTAACTATTTTAAAATGGTTTTTAATTTTTTTTTTCTTCTTCTTTCAGTTGGCTATCTGGAATAATTCATATCTATAGTCCTCAGGTATGGGCTTGTTGCTTGCGATACATGTTCAGTTCTTCTATTCAAGAAAGGCAAGTGATATTTTATCCTATAGTATTTTCTTTTTAATTTTTAACCCATTCAATTAAAATGACAGCCTTTGTGTTAACCTCATTTAAAATGCACAAAATGCTTTAACTTTCTGCAGTTCTTAAAAGCCAAAAGAATAAACTTTTTAAGAAAAACAAATCTTTTATTCAGTGAGATTAAAACCAGACAGTAAGGACAAGATTGTACCATACCTGGAAATGTGAAGAATTCCCTTTTCTTGCCACAGAATCCTAACACAGAAAGTGAGCAGGTGCTCCACATGAGCAAGATGGACAGTCGCCTTCCCTGCGAGAAACTGCCTCCGAAAACCCCTTAGAGAGTCAGCTATGAGTTGTTTCTGACCTGGTGGCGCACAGTAACAACAACTAGTGTCTTGTTTGTCTATTGCAGCCATCACACAAATACCATGTGTGGCTTGAAGAAGAGAAATTTAATTTCTCACTTTTGAAGGCTATATATATCCAGGCTGTATTGATTCGTTGTCTGTAACCTTGAATCTTCTTTGATTCCATAATAACCTTCAAATGACATCATTGTTTCAGTATGTGCTGGTACCTGTGTACCTACCTGTTCTACTCTTTTTAATACTCAAAAGTGATTAGATCTCGAACTCACTTATTCTGCTAAGACATTGTTAAAGAAAACCCTGTTTCCAAACAAGATCACATCACAGGTATAATAGTTTGGATATGTTGGGTGGACATGATTTAATCAATAATATGTAGCATCAGTGGCAGCTAACAGTAACATTTTATAAATTTTTAGTGGCATAATTGCAGTTGAGTTTAAATTTGTTATCCAGGAAGCATTTTATCAAGTTGTAGCATGCTGCTATTAGTATCTTTAGAACATTTGAGAAGAGATGTTTGGTTTTCTTCCTGAATGTAAAACATAAACTTTGAAATTAGTAGTTAGGGTAACTGTTTATAACTTTATGTTTACCTTTAACCTTATTATTTTGAAAGTCATACCACTGGTTTACTACTTACTGTCTTCAACTATTAATCGAATATTTAAAGATACCTTTCTTTACCTCCTTGGTAGCTTTGTTTTGATGGGTTTGTGGTGTTGTTCAAGTTGCTTACAATTCCTCCTCTAGGGACCTTAAAAGCAACAGATCAAAGTCTTCCCCTTCCCTTTGCCATCCTCAGAATCTTCGCCATGCCCATTATTACAGTCACTGTGTCAGTTGAGTATCTATCTTTTGCTAACCCTCTGTTTTTCCAAATATAGTACCTTTTTCCAAGGACTGACCCTGTCTGATAATAAAGAATGATAGTAAAAAGAACAAACAAGTTAAATAAGTACTATTTTATAAAGTGAGGAATGCTTTGGAGCTTAGCTGTTGTGTCTGGATGATAATGGCGTAAAGGATTGTGATTTTAAATAGGGTGGTCAAGGAGACAAGCATTTGCTGTGAGGGTGTAAGCCATGTGATTTGCTGCATGGTGTTTAGAGAATACAAAAGCCACAGGTAGAAACTAACTTAGCATCACCAAAGAACAATAAAAACAACTGGTCATGGAGAGAGGAAGGAAGAAGAGTCAGAGGAGATGAGTTCAGAAAGTAATGTAATAACTTACTATATTTTTTATTTTTATAAATCTGACAAGTAAAATATGTTCTTCTCCCATGTTTTATAATTCACCTCTAAATAACAGCCTGTTTGTTTTCCCCATTTTATTTAGGTCGAGGGCCATTTTTGTGCTGCTTTAGAAGTTCTCTATTTGTTGTTTTTTTAAATAAGATAAACTTTTGTTTTCATAAATGTTGCTTACATCGGCCACTAGGTTATCATTTCAGTTAACTTCAATATATAGTATTTTTTCCAGACTTTTCTTTTTAAAGTCTGCTTTATTGATCTTATTTTTGATTCCTCGATTTTGTATCTTGATTATAAAATGTTTATATTTAATTTCCCATGCACTGCCAAAGGACAGACAAATCTATCTTGAAGGAAATGCAACCAGGTTGCTCCTTAGGGGCAAAGATAGTAAAACTTCATCTCATATACTTTGGGCATGTTGTCAGGAGATGCCAGTCTTTAAAAGAAGACTATGCTGAGAAAGGTAGAAGGTCAGAGAAAGAGAGGAAGGCTTTCAGTGAGGTGGACTGACATAGTGGCTGCAACAAAAGGCTTTGAGAATGTTGGAGATGGTAAGAATAGTGCAAGATATAGGGAGCTCTGGTGGCCCAGTGGCAAGAAGCCACACTACAATCCCGAGGCACACTGTTCAAATCCACCTGATGCTTTGCTGGAGAAGGAGGGGCAATCTCCTCCTGTGCCAGTTGGATCTGATTTGATGGTACACAACAAGAAAAAGAGGGGGGAAAAAAGAATAGTGCAAGATCAGATATGGTTTGGGTTTTGTGTGTGTGTGTGTGTGTGTGTGTGTGTGTGTGTGTGTGTGTGTGTGTGTGTTTTTCATAAGGAAAAATACTACGTAAGATTTTATTGTAAAAATAGAAGGGTAACTGTATGGAGACTCAAGGGGGGGAAGGGATTGGAGCAGAGGGGAGAGGATGGGTAGGGGCAAAACCATAGGGTTACACAGTTTGTGGGTGAAGGGACAGGTAAATTAAATGAGAAGGATCTGCCAGGGGCCTGAAAAGACAAGGTAATGATGGGCAAGGTCCAATGATGATTAATTTTCTAAAACATAATGCATGAAATACAACATGAATAAACAATAGTGTGAAATATAATGTATACAATTTGTAAGCAAACCAATATAAAACATTTTTTTATTAATTTAGTTTGTTTATTTTTCATTTCAATGAACATCTACAGAGATTTTGGGATTC